TGGCTGAAATGTAGTTAATAATGGCAGTATGGGTAGAGAGGAGGAGAAAATTAATAAGATATTCTAGAGTATTTACACTCTATATAGGCCATGTGCCAGGGTGTCAATGTTCCAGTAGTTGCGAGAGGAGGCAGGTTCATTTTAATGAACAAGGACTACTGGATAAAACTCACGTCCTAAGTATTAAGTGAAGGAAGGTACAGAGTACGGGCAGAGAAGAGAGTACATTACATCATAACTTTTCTATCTTGCGAACTAATACTTACATATTTCTGTAAAGCAGAAGTGCAGCGCATACGTGACAGAACAAAAAAATCATTCCAATTTAATTTCATTAGCACATACCTTGCTTCTTTTCGCCCGACCTGTAGTGAGTGATTGTGTAAACATTGCTGTGCATGAGTAAGTGTTTGGTTACCTTGATTTACTCCAGCAACTCCCCATTCTGTAGGACAGTGCTTTAGATCTACAATGGCAGTAGTAACAGTTGGCTTATAATTCTGGCTTTGTACTACTAAATGCCAATGGGTGCAGACCACTTTACACTTTTTTAGGAGAAAGTAAGCTACACCTCCCAAGGTAGTATATTAAATCTCCTTCTGGCCACTAGCAGGCATGGACACTATGTATGTACCACATGTGACAAGCAGGCAAGGTTATGATACCTATAAATCTGAGATATTCGCCTATTGGTACTGGATACCCTGACCCTGCTGTCATCTCTAAGTAACTACAACTAGGATGTTCAAAAGTCATAACGTAGTAGCTCAGCCATGCATTGCAAACGGTTGGTGGTAACACCCTTGCAGATTAACAAATGACTTACTACAACATCATAGCCTAGATCTCGCCCGATTCTATCTCGCCCTCCTTTTCCGTGATCAGGCGGGATTCACGCATGCGCATTGCCTTGTGGAATTGCACGCTCTCGCGCTTAACGTATCAATATTACTTTAATAATTGTGTCTCTAATTATACGAAGTTGGTAATCATCTGCTGCCTGTGAAGCTCCGGAAGAAGACAAGGGAAGAAGAGAGACTAGCAGTGTTGTTTGTGCTCTGAGTGAAAATTCGGCATCTCGTAAGTGTATATATAACGTCATAGACCTGAGACAGGCCGCCATCAGCCTTCAGACACTACATACATACATTGTGCTCTCTTTCGTCGGTCAGTAATACAGTAGCAAGTGCACAGTTTGTTGCATACGTTCCTGTAGCCAATACTTGGCTTCTCTTATATACCTAGCGACTGCAGGTAACTGGTTTCATTTATGAGGTACAGTATGTACTTAGACCCCTGACGTTCCTACAACTACAGCTTCATTACACACTGGTATGTATGAGAGTTACAAGTGGATGAGTATAATACAAGAGGCTGTAACTTGTGTGCGAGTGTATATTATTTACTGATACAGATGTCAGGTTGATCAACAGGAGAAGCTAGTCACCCTTTTGTATGTTACTAGCCACAGCGGCTTGTGTGTTTTTTTGCTGTACACATGCACTAAAGTGCGTGCTAATCAGCTGAACTGTCACATCAGTATAGGTAGTAAATATCCCAGATAGAGGTGTGGTTACGAGAACATTAGCAGGTAATAAGATCAGCTCCGAGCTCTCTCTACCATTACCATACCATAACCATCTGTGTTACTCACTACTCTTCTCCTTTACAATTGTGAAGTTAGTCGAAAGTTTAGCTTCTCGTTTGCTTCTTTCACTCTTCTTCTCCCTACGAGTTCATAATACACGTACATACACAATATGTGCATAGTTTATTGAACTGTTTAAACTTTCACCTTGCGTTGAACCCTTTCACCTGTATTACGATGATGAGACACACACATCTATGATGCAAGGTGCCATGCCATCTCTATTATGCTACCGTAGTCAGCAAGACTTGAGTTCTGTAGTCAGCAGGTCTATCCTTTGACTGCCTGGTATATACAGAGTACACACATACTTTAAATCACGGTGCAGGCACTGGTGTTTATTCTACATGAAAGTTTTGATGCACACATGTAGTAAGAATTTTTCATTTGGAAATAGTGTTCACTGAAACCAGAGACACAAGTATGCGTGTACTCGTGTCAGGTGTGTACTAGGGACGGAGGGTGTGTCGCCACGACTATTGAAGTTCTTGGCAAGCGACTCTGGTTAGGGTCCTCACACCACCGGGATATGGGGACACCGTTTGCACACACACCGTGCAAATATGATAGTGTTGGAGTGGAGATATCGAGGCGGTATAGCAGCTAATGTGAGCGCTCGAAAGGCCCTAGCTATGGAGGCTTAGGCTGGCATCTTACTGTTGTATAATACATTGGAACCTCTCTCTGAGAACACCCCTGAAATGAGGACACCTTTTCTTCTCCCTACAGGTTTGTGCATGCAAGAATCTCACTTTCTTCTGCCCATTGGTGGCATAGTGTTCAAGCATAACACTGCGTTATAGGCCGAACATGTTTCAATGTCATTCATACATATGTCAGTAGTGTATTGAGTAGGACTGTGTTTACGCATACAGTAAGGAATGTTTGTGGTTTCAAATCTCCTGTTTGGCCATTCATCATTTCCTGACAGCTTCTGTCCTGAGATATTTGGCCACTTCTCTAGACCCACCAGCTGCTACGGCCATTGTGACCCGCCACTAATTAACATTCCTATCTCCACAACTTACACTCTGCATGTACTTAATACAGCCTCCATGTTTATACTGTGAATGGTGGGTACTATATGCTATAGTGAAGTTCTAGTATAGTGTACTGTACTGAGTATTGTCAAGTGGAAAATTAGCCTACCTAGTCGTTTTATGTATGTGTGATTCTTTAATAATGTGTATCTATTTGTGGAGGTGTCAAATTTGTATTCACACCTGCGGAAATCGTGTGGAGTTGTTGAAAATGTTCGTTCACCAAAAAAATGACTTTGGCCGCCAATAATGAAGGGGGTGGATACCACTGTTAATGTCCAAATCATGTGCAAGTTAAATAACCTTATACATGCATGGCTGTGCACTATATACGAATTATGCATGGCATGTACACATTATGTGTACCTGTCTTGTATTGTTGTACATCTCTTGTACAGCTGATGTATACATCTTGCATGTATTATTATGCAACGTTTATGTGTCTTTGTTGGCAACCGACATGTATGAAGCTAGGTAGCTACTAGGGGATTTTATCAGCCTATACAATCCTACATGTGCAAGCAGGGTTCATACACGTCATTTGCCTAGGGATATCGAAGTCTGTTGCAGTACCCAGACAGGACAGTCTTCGCCCTTACAGGGCTCATGCTGTCCTGTGTGGGCACTGCAACATCCACCTCATGTACAAGTACAATCACGTAGACCTGTTGTTAGCGTTATGTAGTTATGTTGTAGATGGTGTTCAGATTGTGTAGACATGCCGTGCGCTCTCACATTTAGATATTATACTGTTGTATGTAGGTTTTTACTCATGTAGCTATGGTATGCACGCCTCAGAAAATCATAGTTATCACGTAACTTGTACGCTCCCAAGAGCTCTGTTGCTAGGGTAACATGTATGCCAATATCAGTTTACGGATCCACCTTCTCTTCTTACAGATATTACGTTTGCTGATGGCGGAATTCCCTCCACACACTAAAAACTCGTTATTCTAGAGTTTTTGGTGCAAACGTTTTCACTGTTGTTTTGAGAGAGGTGTGGTTGTTGTCTGGTTGCCATGGAAGACCGCCCGACGACAATAAGGGTGTATCCGGGGGAGCTGAGGCCAGTTTACTACACCTCAGTGCTGGCCTCCCTAACTACCACCCTTGAGGTATATACAGTGCATGTATGTAACTGAGTCATGTTCAAAAATGTATATATCTACTATTATAGAATGCATATTGGCCGGTGAATGTGTTTAATATTTCGGCGTGGCAAATAATATAGAGAACCATGCAGTTCGTGGACTCGCTTTTCTTGCTGTTCTGCGTTTTTTTTTGGCGAGCGGGAGCGAGCCAACCTAGTCGTTCGTTCGGGCGGAATTTTCTGTATATATATATATTTATCGTACGTCGTTCGTCGTGTAAGTGCGCATGCGCGGCTTCGTTACATGCATCCATATGCATCCACACACGTGTGCTAATCTGACAACCGTGGCAACCATGGTGCAGTACGATGATGGTCATTTTGCCAAGCATCCACGATTTCGTTTCTTTGCTCTCAACACCGAGATGCGACACCGTGCCCTTCAGACTGGCCGAGTGTACGTCAGACAGCACCCAGGAGATGGGCAGCTGTCCCTGGACGAGCTGCGGGACATGGTGGGGAGACAGGGAGAGGCCTTCTCCAGTCGAGTACTCCACTACGCCTCCAGTCTGCGTGGCATCAAGCAGTACTGGCAACGTCAGAGGAGTCGTCTGCTTTCCATGGTGGACACACTGGGTCTGCCGACAGTCTTCTTCACTCACAGTGCAGCAGACCTCCAGTGGCCAGAGCTGGCTCAACTCATCTGCCCCGACAACCCTGACTCCAGGACTGCCAGAGCCAAGGCTGTCATCGAGAACCCAGCCCTCGCAGACTGGTTCTTCTACCACAGAGTCATGGAGTTCGTGAAGGTCTTCTATACTGGAGTCCTAGGAGCCACGGACTACTGGCTCCGGTTTGAGTGGCAGCACCGAGGCAGCCCTCATGTACATGGTCTGGCCTGGTTACCTGATACACTAGATGTGGAGAAGCTTGGTGATGGTGCCAGCGAAGCACTCCACACAGAGATCATCAGGCATGCTGACCAGCTTGTCTCCACCACCAACCCTGCTCTCCTCCCAGACGGCAGCAACATTGCTGATGCACCAGCTCCAAAGGTTGATCCCCACATCTGCAACAAGGCATATGGGGACATCCAGGACTTTGACCAGGATCTGGCTCATCTGGTGGCCACCTGCCAGAGACACACTCACTGCTCTGCCTCCTACTGCCTCCGCACCAAGCATGACAAGCAGCAGTGCCGGTTTGGCTACCCGAAGCCCCTGCAACCACACACAGCCATCATCACAGAGGACGAGCCAACTCTCCTCACAGCTCGGAACAATGGGTTCATCAACAGCTTCAACCCAGTTCCGCTGTCTGCATGGCAAGCTAACGTGGACATGCAGTACATCGTCTCTCGTCAGAGAGTCCTGCAGTACTGCACCAAGTATGTCACCAAGAGTGAACCAAGGTCTCAGTCTCTCAAGGAGATCTTCACCACTATCGTCCGTGGTCTCCAAGAAGGCAACAACTCTCTCAAGGCAGTCCAGAAGCTCCTCATCAACACTGTCGGAGAGAGAGACTACTCCGCCCAGGAGACCAGCCACCTACTACTGCAGCTACCGATGTTCAAGGCATCATGTGACTTCATCATCCTCAGTCTCGATGGGTCTCGTGCTGTTCAGGACCACCTGGACGAGGGGCAGCGTGCTACAGCACTCTCCATCGTTGACCACTACATGGGACGACCTGACTCCCCTCACTTCAACCCCATGACCCTCCTGGAGTTTGCCCGCCAGTACTCCATGCCCAAGACCCTCGGAGCTGAGCCAACTCGCAGGAGCAGACGTATTGTCGTCATCCCTCGACCGTACGTCTCACCAGATCCTGCTGGGGAGAAGTATGAACAGTACTGTCGCCACTCACTGATGCAACACAAGCCTTTTCGCCAGATGGACGATCTCCTCTCTGGGTTTGACAACTACATCGATGCCTATGCTGCATTCCTGCAGTCTGACCAGATCCCTCCCTGTCTCGAGGATGATATGTATCGTCTGCTCCAAATGACACTGAGGAAACAGAGGTTAAATATTCCTTATACTGTAGCACCTACTATGTCATTTTATATTCGTTATTCATTTTTTAGGAGCAACAGGAAGACCAAACCTCTATTCAACCATCGCGGGTTACAGAGGAGTGGATGCTGATCTGTCGCCAAAATCAAGACATGCAGCCCAGCATGAACACCCAGGAGGACATTGACTGGACCGAGGCTGCACAGTCATATCCCAACATCGATGAGGCCCCGTCCTTCATTGCTCAGCAGAGACAAGCAGCTGGACAGCATGTCTTCACAACCACAGCCAACCCAGCCAACCTACAGGGAAAGCAGCTGCAGGTGTACACAATCGTCCAGCACCACCACTCATCCACCATTGCCCAGCCTCTGCGGATGGTAGTCTCTGGCACAGCTGGCACAGGGAAGTCCTACCTAATCCACTGTCTCCGACTTCTCCTGCAGCATCAGGTCATGGTTGCAGCTCCAACTGGTGTGGCTGCCTTCAACATTGATGGCTGCACCCTCCACTCTCTCCTCAGTCTGCCCACCAGAGGAGAGTTCAAAGACCTGGAGGGTGAGAGACTCACCAAGCTCCAGCAGGCCTTCTCACAAGTCAAGTACCTGATCATCGATGAGATGTCGATGGTGGGGAGGAAGACCTTCGGCCAGGTGGACAGACGTCTTCGCCAAGCCTTCCCGCACGACTCCCAGGAGGTCTTTGGAGGATGCTCCTGTCTTCTCTTCGGAGACTTCGGCCAGCTTCCTCCAGTCATGGACCTTCCCCTCTACACCACTGACTCTCGCTCAGAGCTCTCTGACCAGGGGAGAGCTGCCTACCAGACATTCCAGCTGGCTGTGGTCCTGGACCAAGTCATGCGTCAGTCAGGCCAGGATCCAGAGCAAGTCAGGTTCCGAGACATCCTCCTGCGACTGAGAGATGCCAAGGTCACAGTGGCCGACTGGAACCACCTCATGACCCGCACTCCCATCAGAGTCCAGGATCTCTCTCCCTTCTCCACTGCCCTCCACCTCATCCCACTGTTGAGCTGTGGTCGAGTACAACGTGGCTCAGCTCCAGGCCAGTGGCCAGCCCATTGCCACCATCAAGGCAGTTCACACTGGACCCAATGCAGCCAAGGCCCCAGCTGATGATGCAGGAGGACTGGAGGCAGTCGTCTGCCTGGCCAAGTCAGCCCGTGTGATGCTCACCAGCAACCTCTGGGTTGATGTTGGCCTTGTCAATGGAGCCATGGGAACTGTCCAGGCCATTTGCTACAGGACTGGCGGACCACCTGACCTCCCCATCGCTGTCATGGTTCGCTTTGACAGCTACTCTGGCCCTACTTTCCTTGACGGCACAGTACCCATCACTCCTCTTCGCCGCTCCTGGTCCTCCTCGGGAGGTCATTGCTCACGTCTCCAGCTCCCCCTCAAGCTGGCGTGGGCAGTCACCATCCACAAGTCTCACGGTCTCACCCTGGACAAGGTGGACATCGATGTCGGCATTCTCCACAGTTCTCCACAGGCCTAACATTTGTTGCCTGTTCACGTGTGCGTCAACTTCAAGATCTCCTGTTCACCCCGCCATTTCCCTTCCAACGGCTCGCAAACCTCTCCAAGAGCTCACGTCTGGAGGAGAGGCAAGACGAGGACAGGAGGCTGCAGTCACTCTGCCACTGATTTTGTTTTTCAAAGTGACTCCATTCCCATGTGCAAGTCCATTCGTCATCATCACCAAGTGTTCTTCCCTGCACTCATCAAGCTACACACTGTATGTTCCACACTACTATTCATCCTTACACATATCTCCAATGCAGGTTTTTGGTCTATCTACTTATCCAAGTTCGTTCAGTTCCTATGCAGGACAGTGCATCCCACCTAAGCAAGTATGGCCTTTGCCCAGAACAGTGTGATAAGTCCAGCTGGTGAAGAAAGTCCAGAGTCTCAAAGGAGTCCATTGCCTGGAGCAAGCTAAAGGGAAGTCCAACTGGTGAAAAAGGCCAAATGCCCTGGGTGGTTTGTGAAGAAATGCTATATACCCAAGTCCATTGCCCAGAACAGGGTGAAGAAAGTCCAACTGGTGAAAAAGGCCAGTGCTCTGGGTGGTTGGTGAAGAATTTTCAGAAGTCCACCCCCAGAGCAGGGTGAAGAAAGTCCAGTTTTGTGGAAAAGGCCAGTGTTCTGGTGCTCTGGTGAAGAAGCATTGTTCTTCCACCCCCAGGGCAAGGTTAAAGAAGTCCAGTTCGGTGAAGACACTGTTTCTGGAGCTAATGCTGAAGAGCCCTCAACTCGAAAGAGGCAAGTCCAGCTGGTGAAGAGCATCTGTTCTGGGCAATAGTAAGGAACAGTCTTTGTATGAATGTCTATTATTCACACACTTCTTCTATAACATCCGTAATACATACACACCCTCACGCTTCACGCGGACCACTGCCCCTCCGACCTCCTCGTGGTGTGGTCTGGGACCTTCAGTACAGTTAGTGCTGATGCTAACAGGAGGGACTGCTGATGGCTTTATAATTCCAGTATTTTTTTGGTTTTCTCTTTTTCTGTCAATAATGTTAATGATATTATTATAGTTCTACGTGAATTTGTGCGCTCTTTGCTGCTACGTGTTCTTGTCATATATAGTGGATACCATCAACATTATTTTAACAATACTTCTTACTCTCTTGTACATCTGTCGTTCTTCACGAAAGGAAAGCTGTGCGCTGACGGCACGTTATGCAGCCCCAACATCGCGGGCAAATCCCAAGTTGGGTCGCTCCCGCTCGCCAACATTGTTTAACATTTCCACTAGTACTGTACATACATCCCCCCTCCCTCCATCTCTGTCTGTCCCTTTCCTCGTTATGCAGGTGATACGATTAGCTCTGGAGCGACTGCAGATTTTCGAAGACAAGACGCTCTATGAGCTACACGAGGGTTGTCCCGGTGACGAGGACAACTGGACCCTCCTCAAAGAGGGGGAAACCAAAATCACCACGCATGCGCAGTTACAAACTCCTCAAACTAGCTATTATACTATATGGTGTCTCTCTACTGTCATAAAAATACTGTCCCCGACTATAGACAAAAAGCCCTTCAAGGAGCAATCTCTATTATCCTCTGACCACTCCGCTTTGCCAAGACCTAAATGAAATTCAAACGGATTGCAGACAGGCGTGGCTGCACTACGACCTGCAACATACTAATGGAGTACCCGAGCATTTGATCATTTCAGGGTTTAAACGCTGCCATTCCACAGATTTACAAGTATAAAAAATATTATTCCCAAAATAGCATGGACTTCACTGGCCACCAGCTTGTAGACCTAGTGATAGACAAGCAGAGCAAGGATCTAAAGGAAGAAACACTATCACTCTGTAAAATACCTGGAGATTGAGGAAGATATTTCTCCTTCAGTGTTTTGATCAGTACATCTTTCCCCTTTACACGATCGAGGGCATTTATTACTTTCTCCCATGAAGCATTCGGGTCTTTTTTCAGCCAAATGTTCAATGCTTGGTGCATACGGTCGGTGGCCTGGTTAGTCTGCTCTCTATCTTCAATAGTTTGTTGTAGTCAATCTCCAGTTGTACTGCCAGAGACTTTAATTTCACTCCACGTCAGATCACCCAACTCATTAGACAAGTCAGCCAACTTCGGCTTGACATTAAAAAATACTGTGGTATCCACAGATCTGGGACCTTGTACAAGAGTGAACATAGATTATCACAAACAACGTAGGCGAATCTTACTAGAGGGAGTACTTGACGGCAGAGCAGGCTCTAAAAAGAAAAGACAAAGATCGTTTAGACCATCAGTAAGGGTAAACTGCCACTCACTAGTTAGACATGTCGTTGGGGAGGTCACAGTTAAAAAATTGCACTGCTTAGCTCCCTTGATGGGATCACTCTCTGAGCAGATACTTTGGAGCTTCCTCATTCTCGCACCAGACTTTCACTTGACATGTACACAGCTCCTTGCGAGCACTAAACCTATCAACATCCCGCTTGAAAACCTGTAAGTCATCTGCAAAGTAATGTAGGATTCTAAGGCATACGTAATACAATAGCACCTCAAGTGGGGTTAGTTCCTTCATATTCCATCCATTTCCACAGCTTTCTTGAATTTCAAGGCTTACTTCATCTTCTTGGAACTTGAAATTAGAAATAGGTCCTCGCTCATAATTGCCCTTTACTCTCTTTGAAATCTGATCTTCAACCCTCTTATAGAGAAAATGGGCAGTAAAAATCATATTATCTTAATTAAACTTACCTTAGCCAATGCACTGAGATTTTGAATAATGAAGAACTCAAAATTAAAATGGCAATAGAGCATCTTTGTATAGTAAATGTTAGCGAATATTCAATTTCATGGGGAAGCAAGGAGCGAAAATGTTTCTTCATAAAAGTAGAAAAACGAGAGAAGGAATGCAACTTTATCACTGCATAGCCTTTCACTGAGCTGAAATCACCCCCTGGAACATAATTGAAACTGTTGGAGTTCGTATTTGCTCGAACAATGCTCAAGTTACTAAGAGCACTTGCTGCAGCACAGTGCTCCATTTCCAGAGTGACCGGCTGACGAAAGATCCTCTATTGGGTCGTGGCAGAAGGAATAGACTGCACTAACAAGGACACCGTTCTCGGGTAACTGCAACTCTCCTGATAGTCCAACATTTACACTGAGCTTCAAATGACTACAACCTTCTGGTAGTGAGTCGGGTGGAATGTATAGTCTCAGACCATATCCCTCCCAGATAACATGCTGCTCCCCATTTGTTACTATCACTGTCTTCTCTGCTATCACATCAAAGGCTGTTGAACATTATTAACGACAATCACATGCCACACCAACACTTACTTGATTGAATATCTTCCACCACCTTCTTTGCTACGACATCTTCATTTGTAACCTCCACTTCTACTTCCACTGTCTCCCCTGGACACAGAGGCCATTGTTAATCTACTGTACATGTTACATCAGCACTAACTTGGTTGGCTTTCTGCCTTAGACACAGGGGTGAAATATTTGTCCTAAAATAAAGTGGTGAGAGAAGGGCAAAGAATAAGTGTAGCACCTAGACCCTCATCAATTGATAAAACTCTGTCTTGCAGCGCATACCATACATAAATAGCTACACAACGCATGACTGTGTGTAGTGGAAGACACTTGATGTAGTTCCATCAAACCACATTCCATGTAAGGATCAAGGGCAGGCAGCTCGCCCTCTGTCTGCTAAACCATAGCAAAGGGGAAAGGTCATGTTACATTATAAATGTATTCATGGGTGAGTATCATTACATTATGTGCCCTTTAGATCGCCAAGATTCAGGTTGTGTCCAAACCACAAGTTGTAGCAAGAACAATTAAGTGTCTACCAAGACCAGGGAGTTTATGCTCTCTTCCAGGTAGAGTAGCCACCAAGCCATGCCATGTAAATGTGTACAGATGACAAATCTTATGCCCGTTTACACCAGCGGCTAGTATCTGCTTTACATAAGCTCACATACAGCGTAAAAAACGTACCTACCGCAGGTATGTGGTTATGTGCCATAATGACAGCTGCATGCATAAGAAAACAACTAGCTACAGCTATATACTTTCAAGGTCTAGGTAAATGTGAGTAGAGTTTAGTGTACTGGCTAACACTTTTTTCCATAATGACTTTGCAATCTGCTCCTGTCCCAATGCTTTTGCAATCATGACAGGAGTTTCCCCATCCTGAATCAAGAAAATGTTAAAAGCTACTGCTTCAATACACAGAGAACATTTACTTACATTGTTTGCAATACTTGGGTTAGCCCCCATATTGAGTAGTCGTCTGACCAATTTGAGATTATTCTTTTTACATGCATACACGAGTGCAGTTGCCCCATACTATAAAGATAGATTAGATTCCCTGTTGCACACACACCTATATAGGAAACATACGCTGTCCTGAATGTCGAGCTGAGATGGACTATTTACATTGTCCAGCAGAGCACCCACAACTGTGTCGTGTTTGTGACGTTCAATAGCCAGCAGCAGAGCATTTGTGTGATTCTTAGAGGAAGAGCAGGTTAAGAGTCCTTTTAATTTATAATTGGGAATGTTGCTATATATTATATCCAAACCTTATCCTGAATGTGAGGTGCAGCTCCAGCCCTGATTATCCTCAGGACAATGTTATCATGCCGTTTAAAACTGCTGCCATCAGTGCTGACCACCCAGTCTATAGAATTGTTGTGAACCGCATCATTGTTTTTTACACTTTGCTGCACTTACATAATCCTGCAGATCTGGATTTGCTCCTCTCTCTAATAATATATCCACTGTGCCATAATGACCGTTGTTTGCTGCTTCCATTAGCGCATTCCAATTTTCCTACAGACCTCTTGGTAAAAGTTGATATGCACCATCATAATACACTCACATCATTTCCAATGTTTGGGTCTGCATTATTGTCAAGCAGGAGCTGAGCCATTTTAACATCCCCATTTTTACAGGCCTCCATTAGAGGAGTAAACTGAATCTGTAGAAGAGTAAATTCTATGTTCTTATATAGTTCTGTGGAAAAGGTTACCATTGGAGGAAAAGCGTTTGGATCTGCTCCCTCTGAAAGCAAAACTCTGACGTCATTCACTTTCCCACTGGAAACAGCTTCCATCAGTTGCTGTGGGGTACATTTTTAAAAAAACACAATTCTTAGACAGTCCAATATCTAACATACTGTACTGTCAGGCTTGTTTGCGGGTATGTCGGGAATGGATTCAGCAACAGATACCTACACATAATCATGAGATTAAGAAACACAGAGGAAAAGCAAACTGTATTCTGATACTTTTAACACTAGCATAGTACAAAAATATTAAAAGAGAGTAGGCAGATAAGGCAGTGAATTGGTCAATGAGTGTTGAAGTGTGAAATCCGTAATTATCACTAAGTACGGTAGTACTTAAGTATATTATAGGGATTGACATGGTACCTAGCATCATAGATGTATGGGGCTATGATAGGGAGTTTTGTTCATCATCTTCTTCTTCTTCTTCGACCAGCGTAACTCAAAAACCGAAAGAGATAAAGCCATGAAATTTTTTAGGAATGTACATATCGATAACCACATGGGACTCATCATACTTTTTTGTTTGTAAACAATGTTGTTTACTGTAAACAACAACAACATTGCCCCAGGCAATACACTATAATGGGCAATACGTTATAATGGGCATATTACATGTGTCAGTGTAACTCACAATTGGTAAGAGTTATGCGAGCGAAAGTTTGTATACACAATGTATTCAATAGCCAACATCAAAATCCCAACAATACATGTTTGTAAATCACAACAAATAGCCTCAGGCACTTTTCTTTAATTTAACTTCTTCACTTCTCAAACTTTCCAATGGTAGCACACATAGAGATGAAACTTGGTACGTATGCCTATTATATCATTTCCATGACGATTACATGTTTCCATGACGACCGCATATTGTTCGAAAAGGCCTCAGGCAATTTTCTTTAAATTACTTCTTCACTCCTCAAACTTGCTAATTGTAGCACGCATGGAGGTGAAACTTGGTGCGCATGTGTATTACATCGTTTCCATGACAACTACAACAACAAATAGCCTCAGGCACTTTTCTTTAAAATTACTTCTTCACTCCTCAAACTCGCTAACAGTATCACGCATGGAGATGAAACTTGGTGCGCATGTGTATTACATCGTTTCCTTGACGACCACAACAACAAATAGCCTCAGGCACTTTTCTTTAAAATTACTTCTTCACTCCTCAAACTTGCTAACTATAGCATGCATGGAGGTGAAACTTGGTGCGCATGTGTATTACATCGTTTCCATGACGACCACAACAACAACTAGCCTCAGGCACTTTTCTTTAAAATTACTTCTTCACTCCTCAAACTTGCTAACGGCAGCACACATGGATGGTATGCATTTCATTTCCATGACGACAATTTTTTCTCTATTATAAATTTTTATAGGGGCTTGCCCCCTTCCACAGAGATAATACGTAGTAGTATATAAAAATGAGTGGAGACAAGTAAATAAAAAATCCTGCAGATTAAAAAAAGAGTGCATATAGGGATCGTATAAAAAGAAAGGGAGACAAGATAGGGATTGTGTTTGTGGAAGCACAGAGATGCTAGCGAGGAGTTAGGACTCCCACAGGTCATTACAACAGTCCTATATCGTCCTATCGGTGCTTTACTACTTCCTCGTTAATATATCAGCCAACCTTGCATACTTGAATTTTGTTTTCTTGCGTTATACAATTTTTCCATGTTTCCATGTATAAACATGTATATCCAATGTTATGGTCAGCTGATTACACTTCCACCTAAATGCGCACTCCATGGAAATGTAGCATGACAAATCTATCAAAGGTAATTAGTAAGTACTTCATTACCTATAGCAATATTCTACAGACTCTCTAATCACTCCCACTCCCACCCTACGAAGAAGATTGAAAACTTTCCCTATCATAGCCCCATACATCTATGATGCTAGGTATTCCCACCGTACGACGATATAGGGCTGTTGTAATGACCTGTGGGAGTCCTAACTCCTCGCTAGCATCTCTGTGCTTCCACAAACAGAATCCCTATCTTGTCTCCCTTTCTTTTTATACGATCCCTATATGCACTCTTTTTTTAATCCGCAGGATTTTTTATTTACTTGTTGTTTTTAGTTTTAAACCCCACGCTAAACAATCCTGTGCATTCTTTCAAAGCTGAGCTTTTTCACATTTTTTCACTTTCCACATGCATGCGTGCATGCATCAATATCTCTGGCAGCAATGGGTGAATATCATCATGGCTACATACCTTATTCATTGTGCTTTTTGTCTTATCCTTTAGCCTGCTTTGAAAATAGAGTTTAAATGTACACGTTCTATTCATTAAAAAAAACTGTCACCTTATTTGTGGAGGTAATTCTGTCACCAGTGGAATATCTTTCATTGGACAAGAATTAATATGATACTCGAAGGCAGACAGCTCTCCTTGCCACGTGCATCCCCTATATTTATAATGACAGAACACTAGGAGTGAGTTTACTTCATGCTGATAATGTTTGTCCAGCATTGTACTCCACTGAATCATCTTGCACAATGGACATTTCCCTTTTTCCTTTTTAATTCTGGTGACAGCTTCCTGTGAGAGATGTTGACCACACATGGGAAGAGACCCAAGTTGGATCGCAAAACTATCAGACTTGCGAGTTTAACGAAAAGCTAGAATATGATCCACCTGGGTTTGCCAGTAGATACTGCAAGAGCCCCTACGAATGGATGGAGTACATGCCAGGAAATTGCATATCTGAGACCACTTACCAACTCTCCACCCTTGCAGAGGTTTGATTATGATGGTCAGATTTACTAGCAAACTAACCTACTACCTCATTGTAGAATGTTAGAACTTTACTTGTAATGACCTAGTTTTTTTCATTATTTTCAGCTAACGGTGACGGCAGACACAGCTTCAGGTTTGGTACAGAACATATCGACTGTCCTGAGCAGTGCTAACGAGGAGGACCAGACACCAGATAACCTTGTGCGTGTCACTGGGGTGCTGGAGGGCGTGGTCGGACTGATCAATAATGGAACCTTTGACATCGATGAAAATGTAAGATGGGACTAAACTAAATTAGTCAGGTATCAGAGCGTCGGTAGACGCTCTGCTACATAGGGATGACACGAGTGAAATCTCACGTGATCCACGTACAAAACTCAGCGACAATGACTCACCATGGCTTCAAAATCACTAGCAATAGTCTAGAGGCCAATACATAGCTATACATATGCCCCAAGACTTCCTACGTGCCCTCAGTTCCCCACGAGAGAATTCGCACTCACGGGATTTCGCGATTTTCGTGTCATCATAATCATCATAATTCTTCTTCTTCTTCTTATTCTTCTTCTTCAGACCCGCTAGCTCCTTACCGGAAGCAGTTGAAGCGTTGATTTTTTCACACAACGTCTCCAAATTTGCCGGAGGTGTGCACGCATATCAAGCGATCGCTTGTTTCTTGCCGAGGAGGGCGTTTCCCCAATGCTGTGCGCGCGCATTACTATAGTCTCGCTCGTGCGTGAACCAGGTCTACGAGACTAAGCCAGGATGCCTGCAGAGGAACTCTTATCCTCCAGTGCCTTCTGTGGGTCAGTATACACATTTTTAACTGGCTAGCTTACGTTTTGCTGTTGATTTGTACGAGGAGCAACTTGGCAGTGTGCGCCGTGTTACGCAGGCCTTGCCCAGCGCCATCATTGTTTGTCCCCCCAGGTTATAGCTATCATTGTAGTCTGATTACTGAAGCCTGCCTACGAAACCACCCCACCATATGTGCCACAACCTAATTGCATCGTTGTTGGAGACACTACGCATACACCCTGCTTCATGTACATTAGCTTCTGCTTTCAACAGTTATCCCCATGAACATCAGAGTGACTGAAAATGCAGAGCATGAAAAATAGTGGAAACAAGTGGAAAAATCATTTCTTCAAAATGAAGGGGTGATATAGGGATGGCTTGAAGCACCAAAAAGGAAGAAACAAGGGGTCATTACACAGCAAAGATGCACAAAGCTACATGACACCATCCCTATATCTTTGTCTCATATTAAACTTGCTAAAACAGGGATGGTGTCATGTAGCTTTGTGCATCTTTGCTGTGTAATGACCCCTTGTTTCTTCCTTTTTGGTGCTTCAAGCCATCCCTATATCCCTATTGATTTTGAATAAATAAGTTTTTTCAACTTGTTTCCACTCTTTTTTTTGTTACAGTCATTGTAATGTTCATGGATATGTTGTAGATAGGCTACCATAGACAAACTCTAACTGTTGAAAGCAGTAGCTAATGGGCTGCTAGTGCCTGAAGCAAGGGCTAGATACCGAATGCATTGTCTTCAAAAAGGATGTAATTAGGTTATTGCACATGGTTGTGGTTTCATGGGCAGGCTTTGGTAATCAGGCTACAACCTGGGGGGACAAACAACGAAGGGCGATTTGAGCGCCCCGCGGCAAGGCTCGCGTAACACCGCGCAGACTCTGCCAAGTTGCTCCTCGTGCAAATCAACAGCAAGCTAGCCAGTTGGAAATGTGCACACTTACTTACAGAAGGTACTGGAGGCTGAGAGTTCCTCTGCAGGTCTGCCAACTCGCCTGGTAATACGCGCACACAGCGCATTGGACAACGTCCCTGCCTAGCGCATGCGCGCGGCTCACTGATGCTGAGTTACCAGCAAATGGCGTTGTTCAGTGTCGACCATGGAAGAGCTCCATGATCTACCGTAGTGACTTGCGGCAAGAAAGAAACGATCGCTTGATGTCCGTGCACACCTCCGGCGAAATTGGAGACGTTCAGTGAAAAAATCAGCGCTTCAACTTGTTCCAGCAAGGAGAAAGTGGGTCTGAAGAAGAAGAAGAAGAAGAAGAATGAAAATCGTGAAATCGCGTATGAGCGAATTCTCGCGTGGACGACTGTAGGTGCGTATGAGGTCTTTGGGAACATGTATGGGTAGATATGGGGGACAAACAATGAAGGCGCTGGGCAAGGCCCGCGTAACACGGCGCACACTGCCAAGTTGCTCCTCGTACAAATCAACAGCAAAACGCAAGCTAGCCACTTACAAATGTGCACACTGACTTACAGAAGGCACCGAAGGATGAGAGTAGTTTTCTCTGAAGGCATCCAGTCCTGGCTTAGGCTCGTTCGTGGACCAGGTTTACGAGACAAAATGCGCGCGCACCGCATTGGAAACGCCCTCCTCGGCGCATGCGGCTCATTGATGCTGAGTTAGCAGCAAATGGCGTTGTTCAGTGACTACCGAGGAAGAGCTCAACGATCTACCGTAGTGACTTGCGGCAAGAAACAAACGATCGCTTGATATGCGTGCACACCTGCGGCAAATTCGGAGACGTTCTGTGAAAAAATCAACGCTTTAAGTGCTTCCGGTAAGGAGCTAGTGGGTGTGAAGAAGAAGAAGAAGAAATGATGACACGAAAATCGTGAAATCGCGTATGACCGAATTCTCGCGTGGACGACTGAAGGTGCGTATGAGGTCTTGGGGGACATAATATATAGGTAGATATGGGCCCGTAGACTATTGCTAGTATGTTTTGAAGGCCTAGGGAGTGATTGTCACCGAGTTTTTAGTCGTTTTGTACGCGGATCAGTGAGATTTCCCCCGTGTCGTCCCTATAATATAGAAAGAGTCTACCGACTCTCTGATACCGACTCTCTAATAGTGTCTCTCTACTGTCATCAAAATACTGTCCCAGACTATAGACAAAAAGCACTTCAAGGAGCAATCCCTATTGTCCTCCGATCACTCCGCTTTGTCAAGACCTAAATGAAATTCAAACGGATTGCAGACAGGCGTGGCTGCACTACGACCTGCAACATACTAATGGAGTACCCGAGCACTTGATCATTTCAGGGTTCAAACGCTGCCATTCCACAGATTTACAAGTATAAAAAATATTATTCCCAAAATAGCATGGACTTCACTGGCCACCAGCTTGTAGACCTAGTGATAGACAAGCAGAGCAAGGATCTAAAAGAAGATACATGATCACTCTGTAATTACCTGGAGATTGAGGAAGATATTTCTCCTTCAGTGTTTTGATCAGTACATCTTTCCCCTTTACACGATCGAGGGCATTTATTACTTTCTCCCATGAAGCATTCGGGTCTTTTTTCAGCCAAATGTTCAATGCTTGGTGCATACGGTCGGTGGCTTGGTTAGTCTGCTCCTCTATCTTCAATAGTTTGTTGTAGTCAATCTCCAGTTGTACTGCCAGAGACTTTATTTCACTCCACGTCAGATCCCCCAACTCCTTGGACAAGTCAGCCATGAACTTCGGCTTGACATTAAACAATGCTGTGGTATCCACAGATCTGGGACCTTGTACAAGAGTGTAATAGAGTGAGCATAGATTTCTACTGTATCGCAAACAATGTAAGCGAATCTTACTAGAGGGACTTACTTGAAGGCAGAGCAGGCTCTAAACGGAAAAGGAGAAGATCATTTAGACCATCGGTAAGGGTAAACTGCCACTCACTAGTTAGACATGTCGTCGGGGAGGTCACAGTTAAGAAATTGCACTGCTTAGCTCCCTTGATTATCACTTTCTGAAACAGTTCCTTCGGAACTTCCTCATTCTCGCACCAGACTTTCACTTGACATGTACACAGCTCCATGCGATCACTATACTTATCAACATCCCGCTTGAAAACCTGTAAGTCATCTGCAAAATAATGTACGATTCTAAGGCATAATACAACAGCACCTCAAGTGGGGTTAGTTCCATCATATTCCATCCATTTACGCAGCTCTCTTGAATTTCAAGGCTGACTTTATCTTCTTGGAAGTGGAAATTAGAAATAGGCCCTCGCTCATAATTACCCTTTACTCTCTTTGAAATCTGATATTCTACCCACTTATAGAGGAAAAATAGGCAGTAAAAATCATAATATTATTATCTCAATTAAACTTACCGTAGCCAATACACTGAGGTTTTTAATAATGAAGAACTCAAAATCAAAACGGCAATAGAACATCTTTGTATAGTAAATGTTAGCAGAATATTCAATTTCATTAGAGAAATGGGGAAGCAAGGATTGAAAAATGTTCCTCATAAAAGTAGTAAAACGAGAGAAGGAATGCAACTTTATCACTGCATAGCCTTTCACTGAGCTGAAATCACCCCCTGGAACATAATTGAAACTGTTGGAGTTCGTATTCGCTCGAACAACACTCAAGTTATCAAGAGCACTTGCTGCAGCACAGTGCTCCATTTCCAGAGTGACCGGTTGACGTAGATCCTCTATATGGTCGTGGCTGAAGGAATAAACTGCACTAACAAGGACACCGTTCTCGGGTAAATGGAACTCTCCTGATAGTCCAACATTTACACTGAGCTTCAAATGACTACAACCTTCTGGTAGTGAGTCGGGTGGAATGTATAGTCTCAGACCATATCCCTCCCAGATAACATGCTGCTCCCCATTTGTTACTATCACTGTCTTCTCTGCTATCACATCAAAGGCTGTTGAACATTATTAACGACAATCACATGCCACACCAACACTTACTTGATTGAATATCTTCCACCACCTTCTTTGCTACGACATCTTCGTTTGTAACCTCCACTTCTACTTCCACTGTCTCCCCTGGACACAGAGGCCATTGTTAATCTACTGTACATGTTCACATCAGCACTACTTGGTTGGCTTTCTTCCTTAGACACAGGGGTGAATATTTGTCCTAAATAAAGTGGTGAGAGAAGGGCAAAGACTAAGTGTAGCACCTAGACCCTCATCAATTGATAAAACTCTGTCTTGCAAGCGCATACCATACATAAATAGCTACACAACGCATGACTGTGTGTAGTGGAAGACACTTGATGTAGTTCCATCAAACCACATTCCATGTAAGGATCAAGGGCAGGCAGCTCGCCCTCTGTCTGCTAAACCATAGCAAAGGGGAAAGGTCATGTTACATTATAAATGTATTCATGGGTGAGTATCATTACATTATGTGCCCTTTAGATCGCCAAGATTCAGGTTGTGTCCAAACCACAAGTTGTAGCAAGAACAATTAAGTGTCTACCAAGACCAGGGAGTTTATGCTCTCTTCCAGGTAGAGTAGCCACCAAGCCATGCCATGTAAATGTGTACAGATGACAAATCTTATGCCCGTTTACACCAGCGGCTAGTATCTGCTTTACATAAGCTCACATACAGCGTAAAAAACGTACCTACCGCAGGTATGTGGTTATGTGCCATAATGACAGCTGCATGCATAAGAAAACAACTAGCTACAGCTATATACTTTCAAGGTCTAGGTAAATGTGAGTAGAGTTTAGATACTGGCTAACACTTTTTTCCATAATGACTTGTGCAATCTGCTCCTGTCCCAATGCTTTTGCAATCATGACAGGAGTTTCCCCATCCTGAATCAAGAAAATGTTAAAAGCTACTGCTTCAATACAGAGAGAACATTTACTTACATTGTTTGCAATACTTGGGTTAGCCCCCATACTGAGTAGTCGTCCGACCAATTTGAGATTATTCTTCTTACATGCATACATGAGTGCAGTTGCCCCATACTATAAAGATAGATTAGCAATTCCTTGTTGCACACACACCTATAGGAAACATACGCTGTCCTGAATGTCGAGCTGAGATGGACTATTTACATTGTCCAGCAGAGCACCCACAACTGTGTCGTGTTTGTGACGTTCAATAGCCAGCAGCAGAGCATTTGTGTGATTCTTAGAGGAAGAGCAGGTTAAGAGTCCTTTTAATTTATAATTGGGAATGTTGCTACACATTATATCCAAACCTTATCCTGAATGTGAGGTGCAGCTCCAGCCCTGATTATCCTCAGAGCAATGTCATCATGCCGTTTATAAACTGCTGCCATCAGTGCTGACCACCCAGTCTATAGAATTGTTGTGAACCCCATCATTGTTTTTTACACTTTGCTGCACTTACATCATCCTGCAGATCTGGATTTGCTCCTCTCTCTAATAATATATCCACTGTGCCATAATGACCGTTGTTTGCTGCTTCCATTAGCGCATTCCAATTTTCCTACAGACCTCTTGGTAAAAGTTTGATATGCACCATCATAATACACTCACATCATTTCCAATGTTTGGGTCTGCATTATTGTCAAGCAGGAGCTGAGCCATTTTAACATCCCCAGTTTTACAGGCCTCCATTAGAGGAGTAAACTGAATCTGTAGAAGAGTAAATTCTATGTTCTGATATAGTTCTGTGGAAAAGGTTACCATTGGAGGAAAAGCGTTTGGATCTGCTCCCTCTGAAAGCAAAACTCTGACGTCATTCACTTTCCCACTGGAAACAGCTTCCATCAGTTGCTGTGGGGTACATTTATTTAAAAAATATATATTTCTTAGACAGTCCAATATCTAACATACTGTACTGTCAGGCTTGTTTGCGGGTATGTCGGGAATGGATTCAGCAACAGATACCTACACATAATCATGAGATTAAGAAACACAGAGGAAAAGCAAACCGTATTCTGATACTTTTAACACTAGCATAGTACAAAAATATTAAAAGAGAGTAGGCAGATAAGGCAGTGAATTGGTCAATGAGTGTTGTAGTGTGAAATCAGTAATTATTGTTTTTAGTTTTAAACCCCACGCTAAACAATCCTGTGCATTCTTTCAAAGCTGAGCTTTTTCACATTTTTTCACTTTCCACATGCATGCATGCATCAATATCTCTGGCAGCAGTGGGTGAATATCATCATGGTTACATACCTTATTCATTGTGCTTTTTGTCTTATCCTTTAGCCTGCTTTGAAAAAAGAGTTTAAATGTACACTTTCTATTCATTAATAAAAACTGTCACCTTATTTGTGGAGGTAATTCTGTCATCAGTGGAGTATCTTTCATTGGACAAGAATTAATATGATACTCGAAGGCAGACAGCTCTCCTTGCCACGTACATCCCCTATATTTATAATGACAGAACACTAGGAGTGAGTTTACTTCATGCTGATAATGTTTGTCCAGCATTGTACTCCACTGAATCATCTTGCACAATGGACATTTCCCTTTTTCCTTTTTAATTCTGGCGACAGCTTCCTGTGAGAGATGTTGACCACAGCAGGATGTTAGGTAGGGCTCTAGGAGTAGACCCTTTGTACATGGACAGAAGTAACCAGACGGTTGCTCAACGAACGGATAATCCGTTCGTGACTTGTACTGGCTGATAAGTGATGTAGTTCTAAAAATAATACAAATTGCAGTGAAGTTAGGCCATGAAAGCTCAGTCTTCATCATACCCTAGAACAGTTACTCCAGCCGCTTCAAATGATTCGGTACTACCCGTACCAGTGACAGCAACCATCTGTTAGTAGAACAGTAATCAGGCACTGTCAATGCCAACACGCTCAATGCTCACCTCCTGAGTTGTACGTAAACGGTAGACACAACCTCCAGCAATCTCCAGTTTAGTAATGGAATACTTCGTAAGAATCTTTCTAGGAACAGACTCCTGTAACAATTTTTCAACTACAGCTTCAGGAATGAACCAGGTGACTGCAACGGAACCAACTTCAGCTTTAGCAAGTGTCATTGTGAAATTTTGTAAGCCGTGATGGTAGGAGTACTCTGTTCTAAACTGCTCCAAATTATCAAGCATCAGGCTATCTGACTTGTGAAATGTAGAAATTACAGTTCGAAAGTGTGGTGGAGGTTCGATTGTTAGCTTTGGTTGAGCCTGACAGAACAAGATTGCTGGTGTTTTCTCACAAAAGACCTTTAAATCCGACTTGTATGCTTCCATTTCAGATTTAACCCCTTCCAAGTCAAACTCAGTTACAAAATAGTCCAATAATTGATGTGAGAAATAATTCATGTTTAAAATAAGGGCCCCAAAGATTTCAGAATGATCAACTGCCTGGGAGATAGCCCTGATGTGGCTTTCAGTGAAATATGTGTAGCCCTCTATGTTATCATCCACTTTCAGTGATTTCAGAGTAGTAACAAAATGTTCGATAGGAACATTCCTTACTTTCAGACATTCTAGACATTCTTTCTTCAGTTCACTAAACTTCTTCTGCAGTACTTTTACCTCTTTTTGAATGAATTCCAGCTCTTCTAAATGGAAATTGTAATAATTTATGGAGCTGAATAATAGTACTCTATATTTACCATAAACCGTACGGTTGCCTATCTGAGGCTGACTTTTGCTAGAAGATGAAGGTGTGGATTCTTCTATCTTAACAGATTCTTGGATTGAGAAAAGAGAAACATAAAAATTAAATTTTAAGCGAAATTTACTTACCAGCTGCCTTCGAGGAGTGGCAGGTTTTGTTATGATACAACAGTTCTGACAGTGGTCCTTGCCAGAAACACTCAATGGCCTGGCAAAACACACGGAGTTCCTTTACTTCACGTTGGAAATGAATATTTAACATCGTTGTCCACTTAGCGCTTCTGCAATTTGGACATTCCTTTCCCGCTTTTTTAATCTTTTTCACAGCTTCTTGTGAAAAATGTTTACCACAACATGATGTGAGGCAAGGCTCCATTAGTAGATATTGTGTCACTGGACAGAAATAGTCATCAGATGGGTCTTCAACAAACAGGAAATCATCTTCTGGTGATTGGCTGAAAACAAGCATTAATTTCTCACATTTGTAGCAGTATGTGGACATACCTTGATGCCAAATATGATGACTCAGGACCAATGAGGTGAGATGAATCACCAGAACCTTTCTGTTAGATAAAGAAAGATTAAAGTTTCGTGAAAAATTTTTAGACAAACCTTGCGATAGACACAGTCTCCAGCAATGCTAAGTTTTGAGCAAAAATTCTCTTCAAAGACAGCACGGCGTACATTCCCTTTTAAAATGTTTACAACAGACGCAGGTATAAGCCAAGTGCAGTTGAAGCAATTGTAACCAGGATCAACTCTAGCAAGAACCATGGACCAACATCTGAGGTTGTAGTGAGTGGTGTATTTTTGCCGAAACTGCTCTACAACTTCTAAATTCATGACAGAGCCAGGCGACCATTGTAATTCTGCAACCATTTCCCTGAAATCAGGCATCGGCTTTATTCGTTTTCCCTTTTGTGCTTCACAGAACTGATATAGTGGGACTTTCCCTCTGAATTGCTGAAGATTCGATTTGTAGTCCTCAATCAATACTTTGACATCTTCTAGATCGAACTCTGTCACCAAGTACTCCAGTAAATGAAAAGAGAGGTAGTCCATGTTGAAATCCAATTGTCCAATGAGAGCAGATTGATTATGAGCTTCTTCTAAGACGTTTAAGTGGCTCTCTGTGTACACTTTGTGGTCACTGTCATCGTCTGCCGACAGTGACTTCAAAACTTTAATGACTTCTTCCACTGAGATATTTTTATTTTCAAGGCTTTCTTGAAATCTCTTCTTAATTCCTTTAAAATGGCTTTTAAACTTTCTTATTTTAGCCTGAACATATCTAGCAGTTACCTGACCTATAATTTGAAAGAGGTTTGGCAAGATGTAAGCCCACAATGGATTCAACATTATACCCCATAGTTATTGGGTATAGAGACAACTGTTTATGGGACCCACAGAGAAGTGTTTATAGTTATGTGGGAAATTCATTTCCATGCCTTACCATTTGGGTTATGGGTGACTTCATCAGGAGAGGCATCCATGGCTGAAAACCCTGCTTCTTCACGATCACTGACACTCTCTCTGGCTTGCATAAATTGACCTTTAACCACGGAGAAGTTTGCACCATAAAAAGGTCCTAGACAGAGCTACTAATTAGCATTACCAGAACAAGACTCTTCATGCTGTTTGGCTGCTTGCTGCGCATAATTCTGTCGCGTAGTAGGAGAATTGCTAGACTGTGGATGTCTTTTTGCTTTTTTGAACCATGGTGCTCTTTTTCGTCGTCTTTTTCTAGCTAAATGGTATATGCAATATTTTCAAGCTTCATCCACTACAGAGACAGAGCTGTACCTGATCTATTGCTGAAATATACTGAACCAGAGCCTAATGGCTGAGGAGTTCTAGGTCTCAAATCCTCTGCAACAGCAGCCTCTTTTGTGTGAGGAACTACAGATATCTCTTCAGAGCTAGTAGAAACTGAGGTAATGAAAAGCACTAAAGTGTAAACCCTCGGCGAACTGCGCATGCGCGGTACACTTATGCCTTTAGTAGCTCGCGGAGAGTCTGGCACGGGCTAGCTACAGTAGTAGATATATAGCATGCGGGAGTCGATACATGCCCTTCGTTGTGACCGCTTCTTGTGCCTTCAAAATACTCGGAGCGAGCGGACGCGGTCGAGATAAGCCTGTGCTAATAAGTATATTGGCTTGTTGACTGCCTTGTTGACTTGCTTATCACGCCATAACTTTTGAACGCAGTAGTTATACGAAAATCGCCTTTTCAAAAATTAAGCCAGTGTAGCGATGAACCTGTTGGTATCGTTGTTTTGTTGTCCCGTTACGCGTAGTCGCAGAAAACGTGGTAACAGGCAGACGGACAGACGGAGGGGCGGACAGACAGACAGACACACCTACAAACCAAGAGGGTTAAGCCTTGTATATAGTAGCTGTAGATATGGCAAAAAAATAATGTGTAGCTACTTATATGACAGGAGTGATTCCTAAGGATGTAGTAGGGGGATACCACAATACAATCAGTGAGTTTGTCATAAAGTCAACGGTGCATTGTGGCTAGGTGAAAAAATTGCAGCACTTGTTTATGTATGATGCATGAGCAGGTAAGTTTCAGGTAATTGATAGGGCTCTTATATAATATGTGTGGGGGATGTCACTTCAAGTAAAAAAGAAAAAACGAAGAAACTTACACAAACACAGACAGCTGATGGTAATGTGGTTGGAATGCTAAGCTATAGGGTTCACAGAGTTTGGAATTTGGTAAGCGGATCGTGAGGTTTCACCTGTGCAATCCAGAGCCACATAAAGTTTCTATGACGCTCTGATAGCTACACCAAGAAAGTTTGCAGCACACAACTATTTGAAACAAAAGGTGTTTGGCACATTAATTTTGAATGATTACATAATCATGATTGCCAAGGCAACTCTTGCTGTGTGAAATATAGTAGTCTAAAATTTGTTTCTTAATGATAATTATCACTATGATGTCATAATTCAAAAATGTGCTGATGCATAACATTCTCCACTGGGGCAAGGACTGTGAATAAAAGTGTTGTGCCAACTCTGAACTTCCTGGGTAATTCATTGCTCTGGAATTTTTGGACTATTCATTAACTTGTTTACAAGTTATGATCCGATCTTTCCTAGTTCCTACAAGTGGAAAAATCATTTCTTCAAAATGAAGGGGGATATAGGGATGGCTGGAACCACCACAAACGAAGAAACAAGGGTCGTTTCACAGCAAAGATACACAAAGCTACATGACACCATCCCTATATCTTTGTTTGATGTTATTTGCTTATGAATCAATAGAACAAAGATATAGGGATGGTGTCATGTAGCTTTGTGCATATTTGGTGTGTAATGACCCCTTTTCTCTTCCTTTTTGGTGCTTTCAGCCATCCCTATATCCCCCTTCATTTGGATAAATGGGATTTTTTCACTTGTAGGAACTAGAAAAGTTCGGATCATAACTTGTAAACAAGGCAAGTTGTAAGCCCACAATGGATTCCAACATTATGCCCCATGGTTGTTGGGTATAGAGACAACTGTTTATGGGACCCAAAGAGAAGTGTTGGAAACTTATTTCCATGCCTTACCATTTGGGGTATGGGTGACTTCATCAGGAGAGGTATCCATGGTTGAAAACCCTGCTTCTTCACGATCACTGACACTCTCTCTGGCTTGCTTAAATTGACCTTTAACCAGGAAAAGTTTGTACATAAAAGGGGCCCAGACAGAGCTACTAATTAGCATTACGAGAACAAGACTCTTGATGCTTTTTGGCTGCCAGCTGCACAAAATTAATGTGTAGCTACTAATGACAAGAGTGATTCCTAAGGATGTAGTAGGGGGATACCACAATACAATCAGTGAGTTTGTCATAAAGTCAACGGTGCATTATGGCTAAGTGAAATGCATGCGCATAAATTTCAGCACTTGCTCATATTAATAATGCATGAGAAGGTAAGTTTCAGGTAATTGATATATAGGGCTCTTATAGAATATGTGTGGGGAATGTCACCTCAAAAAGAAGAAACTTACACAAACACAGACAGCTGATGGTAATGTGTTTGGAATGCTAAGCTAGGCGTTCACAGAGTTTGGAATTTTGTAAGCGGATCGTGAGATTTCACCTGTGCAATTCATAGCCACATAAAGTTTCTACTGATGCTCTACACCAAGAACGTTTGCAGCACACAACTATTTGAAACAAAAGGTGTTTGGCACATTAATTTTCAACGATTACATAATCATGACTGCCAAGGCAACTCTTGCTATCTGAAATATAGCTAGTAGTCTAATATTTGTTTCATAATGATAATTATCATTATTATGTCATAGTTCAAAAATGTGCTGATGCGTACCATTCTCCACTGCAGGGGAAGGGCTGTGAATAAAAGTGTTTCTCAATAGCTCAAGCCAATTCCTTAAAAGGTCAATTTGTCTCGGTACTTTAATGAAGGTGGCCCAGGTAACTGGCTTTTTTCCACCACCCTTGAGCCAACTAGCTATAATGCTTTCAGTGATAATTGGTGGTTGCTGAGAGTGGGCAGCTACATCTTTGAGTAGAATTGGGCCTACAGTGGGACCTCCCAATAATGGGACAGCACAAATATAGTTTTCAAAACTGAAGAAGTCCTCTAAACTACTCTGCTTTCTGTTGACAGTGCTTAACAAAGAAACACATCGATTAAGGTTAGGTACATATATATATAGCTAGATATAGGCTCTTAGGCTTTTGCTAGCGTATTTTGAAGGCATTCTCGCCAGTTATGTACGCGGATCACGCGTGATTTGACCCGTGCCATCCCTATAGCGTCTACCGACACTCTAATGGTTGACCTAGTATGGTGTAAAAAGTATAGCGTGCATGCGCGATTGCGGAGCGAGCCCCCTATAGTGGTTATTTTGACGCACCGTCTATGCTCATGCGCGGGTATTACGCGCTTCAACTAATTCAGTTGGGAGTCGAGGGTTCAGTTCACGTCCAGCAACGATACTGCTTCGGTTCAAAGAGGTAAACAGACAGAACGCCCGGCCGTCGAAAGTCCTCACGACAGAGAGGCTCGTCTTTTTCAGCGACGATTAAGATACGGAGAGCGGGCAAGGCAACGATACTGCTTCTCTTCAAAGAGATAGACAGACAGAACGCCCGGCCGTCGAAAGTCCTCACGATAGAGAGGCTCGTCTTTTTCAGCGACGATTAAGAGATGGAGAGCGGGCAACGCAACGTCGGGCTACACATTACCGTTCCGTTGCTGGTAGTTTCACGGCAACATAATATGACGCAACACCATAACAACTTCTGTTACTTGCTAAAACATTCTCCCTGTAGGTATATACGTAGGTTCGCTGTAGGTACGAGGTTCGCTAAAGGGAGGTTTGTATTATACATAATATATAATGGTAAATGGTATATAGAAAATGCTCATTATAGAGAGGTTTTCGCTGTTAGGGGAGTTAATTATCGGGGGTCCCACTGTATAGCATTATATAGTTCGCACTAATTTTTTGACTAATTCTAAGTGCTTCTCTAGATTTGGTCTTCATGGCTGCAAACAATGGCAATGTTGGCCTACCAGAAAGTTTGAGAGGTACAGAAGGCCCCTCATAAGTAAACAGCAGAGGCATCTTTTTATCAGTAGCTTACGCGTATCTAATCGTTGTCTATTTGCCGCTTGCAAATCCTCTTGATTTACACGAACAGAATTAAAAAAGGTTATACCTGTAGCCATGTCCAGCAGTGATGACGGCTACGGCTCGATGCAGGAACTACAAAATGTGGGCGTGGTACCCAATTATAAGCGTACCACCGCTCTGCGTATATAGCGAGCTTGCGCATGCCCCCAAACAATTTTTTTTGCTCTCGGTAACCACACCCAAACATTCATTTCACCTGGAAGCGATAGACCACCCAGTTATTAACCCGTCGTACCTCGCGCGCAGCGTCAGAGAGGTGACGGTACTCTTGTCCGTCATTTGGTCTGTCTGTCTGTCTGTTACCACACACGTTCTCTGCAACACCGCTACAAGACAACGAAAGAGCGATACCAAAATGGTTCAGCGCTAGATTACTATAGCTACCGGCCTTGATTTTAATTTGGCACCATTGAGCGGCCAGGTTTTATATGGCAGAAGCTGTTGACTATAGTCGATAATATATACCAGTCTCTGTTGAGTTGTATGGGTGCATTCTAGGGCTGGGGTAATATGTTTCTCACAAAACATTGTGTCATCCAGTGAAAGTTTACACGTCATTCCTCTGGTATGTGGTGTTGTTATGTGATGCACCGGTGGTATTTGCACTCATTAACGCGACGGGTGCGCAATGTGGTTATAGCTGCATCTCATGGGGTGTGGGCAACATTCTTCTTCTTTCATCGCATAAACCCATGGCGCCACATTAAGTAGTCCACACTAGTGGTACTCACTGAGAGTGTTGAGCGCCGTAGTGGGTGCAATAATGCGAATCGCTCGCTCTGTGTACGCTTGGAGGCTCCGCAAGTCACATGAATGGTATATATCGACTCGCCACGTGCTATCTACTGCTGTATGCTAGCCCGTGTCAGACTCCTCTTTCTCCGCGAGCTATCTTAAGCGTGAGACCGCGAGTGAACGCATGTCAATTACTAGCCCAGCCCATCAATTAGCGTTTCGCGCATGCGCAGTTCGCCGAGGTTTGCACTTTAATTTGCATAGATCGTTCCGCGTTAATACATCAGCTTTTCATATAATACACCCTATATAATAAAGAACAAATTGTTTTTTCAAAATTGTTTTTCTAGTAAATCATGGTACACTTCACGGTTGAGGCTGAATGTGG